AGTATACGTTTGGCTAATCTTAAAAGTAACATATTTGGTTCGAAACTTATTTCAAATTCTGATTAACAAAGTTTTATTTATTTTAAAATTATAAGATATGAAAACAATTGAAAACAGCACCTGAAAAACTTGATCTGACACAAAGTTGCTAAAAGGGTCCACTTAGTTTTCGACTTTTCGGGAATATCTTAGCGGATGAATTAGTCGTGGCCAAAGAGTCATCTTTGAAGGCACGAATTAGTCCAAGAGAGAGACCCAAGTCCTAGTAGCCCGATACACATGTCGTGTTATTTCACAATTGAATCAAATTAAAAAAGACCTATAATTAGGGATTTATCAATAGGTAATGTTGCGCTCAAAAAAGGTCTGGAGCCTTTGTTTGAGAAGGAGAAAGCTTGAGTTTGAGCTTGTGTTTGAGTTACTTATCATGAGTAGATATTTTAAGCTTAGTCAACCCTAAAGTAAAATACGTCACAAACGGTGAATTGTAACGCAGTATATGCGGCTTTCCCTTCATTAAAACCTGATTATATCTCATATTGCTCATGTGAAGACTTGACTTATGAATTTTCTAGCATTTTGAGAACCCTCCCCTTGCAATCCCCCTTTTTTTCTCTCTCAATTGTTTTCTATGTGAACTCCATTGTACTTCGCAATTTAAATTCAAATAAATTTTTTTCGTCTATGATGAACTATAGTTCGATATTTCTCATGTTCAATCTATTGGTGGTAGGATTTTATACTTGATGTCCGAAATAATAAATGTGACAACAATTTGAGTGTGCCTATAACCTAGGCTATTAATTATGTTTGAATTTTTTCGATCTTCACTGAATTTAAATCAACACGCCTTATGAAAGTAGTGAGATGAGATGCTGAAATTCTCGTGAACAAAATGCAGCAACTCTAACTTCATACATAATTGCGGTGTGAGGGTTAGATGTAATTGAAAATTATCATGTTTCAAAATCTAGTCCCACTTACTCGACTGAAAACCCGATGACTAGTTTGACATAGGGCTAAGTACTAGATTAGATGGTTCGAGTGAAACCGGTAATCAATTCTTCAAGTTTAGATGATTTTTCATCTGATTTATTTTGACCCGTTTGGTTTACATATAAAACGCGCGCACACTTTTTAGAAAATGCTGAATTGGTGTCTAGAACTAGGCCCATTTCCCACAATGCTAATGCTTGTTTAGTTATATTTGAAATTAAATTGAAGTTCATCAACTCAATCGTGATAAATTCAAATTCTAGTAAAAGTTGACTAACAACAAATGAAATTTATCTAATTTAAGAACTATTTTATAGGTAAGTATCTATAGCATATTAGATCATGAGGCAACCTAGAAGGATAGGTAAAAGTGAATGACACGATTCACTTTATACTTCTATTTTTTTTTTTTTTTAATCACTTAAAAATGTATCATTTATCTTCTCCATGATCCATAAAAATTAAAAACCAATAATAAAGATTAAGGTTATCGACAAGATGGTAACAAAATAGATTATAGTCCATTTTTTGTGCTATTTAAGAAATTTTGCCTTTTAACATTGTACCAATGTATCTAAGTGACCCATCAATAGTTTGGACCCGAAAAATGGAATTATGTTAGAATTCTATATTGTAAATATATAACTTGCTCACGAAAACTCTATACTAATTAGATGGAAACTTTTGAGATTAATTATTTCAAATGCATTCAAGTTTCGGCAAGCACAAAAGTAGCTTTCGGACACAATTATTTTTGGAATTGATTTGTAAATTTTCTTTTAAAAATCAGAACGAGGTTTATTTACAAAACAATTCATTTAGACCACTGATTTAGTTATGACATTCATTTCAAACGAAAATCATTAAAATCTTTTTGTGAATAAGTAGAACGACCAATTAAAAATTGAACACCAAATCGAATAAATAATGAATTTTAATCTAAGATGATGCTAAATGAAACGTTTTGTGATGTTCATTCATGAGGCTAAAACAAAATAAAATTCAGTGGCCAATATGATACTGAGTAAAAATTAGAGTGGACATTAATAAAACCTATGTTGGGGATCTATTTAACATGTGCAGTGGAAAATTAAAACGGATTTCGATTTCCATCAAGATTCATCTTTGTGTTTAGATAGAAACTGTGATAGAAATTGTACTTACAAGATTTGCAAACTCCTTTGCTCTTTTCTTTTTCCAGCAATATTGATTTGCCACCCACAGCTGTCCAATTATCCAACTTTCAACGGTGATCCACACAAAGAACAAGATTGTAGGATTAAAGTTTTCTTCTCGTACTAGCAAGAATAATGAATCTCTATAGATCTTGAAAATCTTAATAATATTTATATAAGCCCAAACGGGCTTGATCTAACCCAATCTAATATTTAATTAACTCATTTAATTAAATCCGATCCGTGAATTAATTAATCTAATTAATTAATTCAGGCCTATAAATAAGCAATACAATTAATTAATCTATCTAA